TTTTTCTTATCAACTTTTAATAAAGAAAGCGAGATAATAATGATATTTAGCTTTTCTGCCACCTACAGCAGCATTTTGTCTCTCCAAATTGTTAACAATTCATTCAGTGATGCTAAAACATATCTTTTCAACTATGAATGCCGCCTGAAGCAAAAATAAAATATCTCAACCACCTCAGTAATTTGTTTTTGTTCAACTTAAATCAGAAACCTTATTCTAAAAGACCCTAACCTTCAAAAAACCTTGTGTGGTTCTGGAAGTAGAAAACAGAGTTGAAACATGCTATGGTTAGGAAGAACCCCAGTCACAGCCTGACCAGGCCAGGAAAGGAAGGTCCCCTTCTCTTCTGCATCCTAAGGAAGACAGAGCAAGACATGTCATTGTCTGCCCATTTCTGTGCTGCACTTCCTCAAAGGTGCATGCACGGGTGGCACAAGCTGTCTGCATGGATTTGCTCAGATATGGAAGCAGCACATATTTCTCCTGGCTTGGGGGAAGATGTTAACCTTTGCTCTTGAACATTCTCTCCTGAATATCAAAGTTGCAGAATATTTTCCTTATAAAGACTTTCCTACAGTTTTTGCTCTGTATCTTTCTTAGAAAGCAGTTCTTCAGGAATTTCAAGCCTTGCAAACCAACTTGTAGGAAATTATTTATTATTATTATTTATTATTACAGTATATAGCATTGCAGGATGCTGTATGTAAACAGTTTCTATCCCAAAGGGCATAGAGTCCAAAGTGTACAAGTAGGCAACTGTAGACAGAAACATGAGGGCAGAGCAAATGGACAGATGGACAGAGAAGTAGCTGGACATTTGCCATTTAAACATAGCCACAACAGAACAGAAATATGCAGCTCCTCATAGGCAAGCATTTTATAGCATGTGCTCATCTGCAGTCATGGGCAATGCTAACACTAACAAGCTACGTCGCTGGATGCTAATGCAGGTGGACCATAAAGAAGACAACCATTAAGAGCTCTGGTTCCAGCCTTGTAATTAGCTTGGCATCTACAGATCCTTGAGGGGCTCAACCAAGCCCTGCATAGCTCAAGGTTGAGTAACACATAACCCTGCAGGATACAGCCTAAGCTAATGCCTGGTGGGCACACAGAGTGGTAAGTTACATACACAACCCACAGGCATTAGTGTTTTCTCCCCAAACCCAGTATGTGTAAACCACATTGTCCAAAATCCAAATGGAATTCCTTTTACCTTTGTATCATCAGAAATTTTAGTGCTGGATAGTGGTTTCTACCTCAATTAGGTTTGGTGACCTTCAGGGTGCATTTGGGTTTCAACCCAAATTGGCGGCTTTAGTTCAGATTCATTCTGTGGTTTGGCTTAAAAATCAAAGTAAGGTTTAGAGGTAGCAACCTTCACAGAGCTTCCTGCAGCATAGCTCTAATGCAAATGAACTGGATAAATGGACCTGACTGTGTGAACCAGCTGCAGAACAGGCAGATGATGTTTCAGGTCCCCTCCAGGCCTGTTTTCATACAGCTTATGCCTGGGAAAATCATTTAAAAAACAAATCGAGGATCAAATACTGCACAAGGACTGAGTGACTGCACCAGAGAACAGACTAGACAGTGACCAACTGGCTCCACATGAACATGACACTGCTTTGACAGTCCTGTGTAGAAAGTGATAGCCACACTTACATTTACACCTTCAATGTTCACATTAATATGCAAGGCATAACTAATTTATTCTAGGTTTTGCTTTAAAGCCATAGATTGGAAGCTTTGATTCCACAGGAGTTTCCTCCCTGAGTAGAAGCAGCAGGGCATGCAGAGGGGACAGAAAGGGAGTTCAGGGCTGTGACATGGAGTGGACGCATAGTGCCCAACATGCTGTAGAAACCACACAAGGTGTTTTTTCACCCTCTAAGATTGTCTCACTTCCTCTCCTCCCTTCTTCCCACCTATTATCAGCATTTAGGACATGCCTGAGTTTTCTTGAGCAGGTTTGTTGTGCTCACTAAAACACAGTGAGTACTTATTGGCTATTATTAGCACTCATTGCATTCTTCTAAGTGCCAGGACTGGCCTGTGGAGCTGAATACACCCTGGTTTTGGGAGGAGAGCTCAGGAATGGGAAGATGCTGGAAATACGTTTTCCGCAACAACAAAACCATAAAACTTTCCCCTCATTCTTTTTTGTTCTGCAAGCACTGGGGTAGCTCAGACCTTCTAAGCAGCAGTTCCTGCTTACTGACTGCTCCAGTCGTTCTCTGGCCCCAGAAGATCTCCCAGCTCCCCTTATCAGAACAGGAACAAATTAAAGATTTTGCATATTTGCATCTCCTCATTTGAGAATATCCCTACATTTGTTTTTTAGAGATAAAAGTACTTCTAAAAATTCACTTAGCAAAGTGGTTTTCTCAGCCTCAGGGAGCAGCGCAGGAGGAATTGCAGAGCGGGATCCAAAGCAGCTGGCGAGGCTGCAGGAAGAGCAGATCAGATGAACAGAGCTGTGCCCACATGCAGCACCTCTTAAACACACGTGCCACAGGTGGCAGGACTTGCTTGACCAAGCAGAGGGCCACGTAAACATACCTATAACTTAACCTATGGCTGTACCACTCCTGGCACCAGCTAGGCCGCACTTGCAGTGTGACAGGCCCTCTTGGTCCCCAGCTCCATCACTCCCCACAGACCTTGCCAGTCATCAAAGCAGCATCCTCGGCTGAATGCTCTTCAAGACCACACACCATCTACCCCAGAAGACCTGCCTGGTCTATTTGTAATGTTTGGTCAAGACATTAGGTCCCAACAGGGCTAAGCAGAGCTGCAACTTTAAGGTGTAAGAGCCTCACACTTGGCTGCTGGACTCTCACCACTCTTTCAGTGAGCCCTATAACCATAAAGCAGTTCCCATTGCAGGATTCAGTGCTAGTCTATGTTTTCATTACCAAAAGCTCTTCTTCACCCACTAACTTTAAAACATATGAACTAACTAAAAACGTACACAAATATACTTTACCCTGGACTAATCCCCAGTGAGTCACAGAGGGTGACAGACTATTTAAGGAAATTTAAATAGTTTCAGACAACAGCTTGAAGATCAGCACATCCCCCTAAAAAGCCAGCATAAAGGCTTGTGGGGAAGGGAGAAATGCTGGAAGAGGGAGGTTTCTGCAAGTGTCCCTAGGAGATGATGTTCCAGCAGATGGCCTACAAAATGCAATGGATCAGGAGTGGGCTACGAGGGCAAATGGATCAGAGAAGTTCACCTGGTTTCCCAAATTGTTTGCAGAGAGCAGACTGACCACCATCAAATAGCAAAAAGGATGGGACTAGCATCCCAAACTTCAGTTATTCTGGATAGTTTCTTTCCTAAAAAGTGAGTAACCGAAATCCTACAATCTCATGCTTGGGCTAATAATCATACTGCCGTCTGTATGACTAGGATACAACCACATCCACTATCACCTCAGAAATACCAATTTTCCTACTACATTAATATAATGACCACAATTCAGCACTAGATATATAGCAAAGTGGCATCAATTTCATAAGAATAAATAACTGGCCTGGTTAAGAATTAATTGCTCCAGTTTGGCTCACCCTTCACCCACTTGCTGGAGCTTTTTGTGGATTACTGCTTTATAATTGCTTGCTCCCTAAGCATACATGCATTACAGCCTTCTGTACACCTTGACAGCATACCAGTTAGAGAAAATGAGCTCTACATGTTCCCCTGATGCTGTATCCAGTGGACAAAATACTGTAAGTCAGAGATTGTTTACTCAATTCTCATGGCCCATTAATGACATAACACTGGACGCAGCTGTGCAGGACTTCACAAGACCAAAGCAGAGAGAGAAATGCTGGGAGACTTCAAATGGAGTATTCACATCAGAGCCTGGCTGGGGAAGTCCTTGAAACTGGTCTAGGAGATTTTAACCTTACAGTTCTCTCACAAAGTAAATCCAGGATTAAAGCCTCAAACTTGGTTTCTCTTGAAGATCCTAATGATCCTAAAATAGCTCCACCTGACCAGGGTGGCAGTGGCTGCTTTGAAAAAGGGAGTACAAGTAATTTCATTTTCTCTCTGCCTGATCAAATTATCTACTGAAAAACTGGTAGGGCTTGCCTTGTATAAAGGCTTGCAACATCCTGACTTTTGGTGTGTTTGAGCAAGGGGGGCAAAATTCACCCTATAAAAAAGGCACCCCTTTTTATCCCCAAAAGTTTGAGCAGAGCTCAAGCAATGTGCTGGGCACTTAAGGCTCAGAGACCACTATTTGCCCCAGTGCAACTTCCCTCTGAGTACATAACTCCTATGTTTTTCCAGGGGTTTCTGGAGAGCTTATTCCAGCCCAGGGGGCCTGTGCAGCAAGTGAGTTGTGGTTGGCATGGGTCACCCCTGCCAACCACAACACAACAAAAATAAGCATATGCTCCACCTAAACACTGCACCCAGGGACACTGGGTCTTTTGTCTTACTTCTACGAAGCTTTTTGAACTGCATTTGTATGACCTTTCATACATTTCATTTCAGTACATGAACAAACTAAGTTTCATGACTTCCCAATCATGGAGAAAAATAGAAAACACGTAAGAGAAAGGCTCAAACTCATTCCCAATCCCCAGTTAAAAATACCCTTATCCATTAATTTAAAAATACAATATAAATAAATGGGGGGGGAGGGTTAAATAAAAAAAGTCTATATGTATTTATGTAAGCGTGTATAGATACGTATTGATATGCGTGTATAGATACAAAATCACAAAGGGAGAACATGATTTGTGATGCTGAGCTGATTCCTCAGCCTGGCAATTCTACAAACATCCCTAAGAGTTGTCCTCCAGCAGAGAGAAAAAAAAAAAAAAAAAAAAAAGGATTGTTGGATAATTTTTTTCCCCCTCCCTGTAACAACAGCTATCCATAGCAACTAAAACACCCATTGAAGCCATATCTGAATTCATGCACAGAGAAACAACCCTCCCTCATTTTCCCCGCAGCTTTTAGGGTAACCCCCACTACTTACAATTGTGAAGTTCATAACCTTCAGAATCCAGATGGTCATAGCAAGGTTCACCAGGATTAAAATCATTAGGAGCAGCACAAAGAAATAGAGGCATCTCTTCCTCCAGCCATAAATCCCCACTTTGTATACCTGGGGTCCTTCCGAGGTCTGCATGGTGCTCCTGTGCGCGTACTGTTCCTGAGGCATCTGAAACAATCACAAGAAAACAACCACGTGTATTAAGCAGCAAGACAAACCCAGTGATAAAAAGTGCTGAGGACTTGTGTCTGTGCCTCTTATAGGTTTAGTTGTTTGTTTGGTTTCCCCTCCTCTTTCTCTCAGTTTACCAGCTGGGCAGCATCTTCAATCACCTTGGTTCTGCATTATTTTTCTTGCTGCTTACTCTATGCAGTACCACGCTGAGAAAAATTTATGTATTAGATGTATATATTTATAAACACACATAAGCGCGCTGTCTAAAGGTATCCTATGGAGATCACTCTCAAATGACTCTGCTCACCGCCCCAGGTTTTGCAAGGCTGGCACTCCAGGGCCTCGAAGGATCCTGAGGGGAAAATTCTGCATGCATTTGGTAAAAGAAGTTGAGTTCAGCAGTTTGTTTTGAAGATGCAATATTACTTCTCAGAGGCTTTAATTCAACAACAACAAAAAAAATCATCTCAAATAAAATCATTCCTTCTAGCCAAAGAAAAAAAGGCAAGGGGAAAACGTTTGTCTTTTTCTCCCCACCTCCAACTTCATTAACCAATGAAACTTGAAGCACAAAGCTCTCCAGCTACCACAGCCCTAAAGAATTGTCCCCAGATATCTACATTGATTTAACAAGGACTCTGACACCATGGACAGGCAGGCACAGCATACTAGGATAACACTGGAGCCACGAGCAAGGAAAGGGGGAAGGAAGGAAACCTGGTGCCAAGGAGAACAAAAGGGGTATGAGGTGTGGCAGCATCCCCAGGAAATTTTGCTTTTCAGTCCCCCATGGCCAAGGCGAGCACAGCCACCCCTGTGCACCCCGGTACCCAGCTTGCTGTGGGCAGTCAGGGTCTGGCTGCCCGCTGGTGATGAAAGACAGAAGCATTAAATGGCGTTGCAACCAGCAAGGATGGAGGGTGGTGAATGGATGTTCCTATGGAGGTGTTTTTGCCCCATGAATGTAAGCGTTCATCTTCTTGCCCTCCACCTTTAGAGTGTGGAAAGCCACTTTCACAGGCTTCCCCCCAGGGAACAGCTTCATATATTTTCAGACTTGGCCACACAGGCTGATGATATCAGATCATCTCTAATAACGTGCAGTTTGCTGGATATTTTGAATTTGAGACTTTAGATAGATAAGAAGCCACCAGACACATTCCTGTGCTACTGATTCAACATCACGGGCTTCTTCCTCAGGGTATCTGCCATCAATGCTTGCATTCAGTGAATTACAAAAATCATGAAATAGGGGGAAACAATGGAAGTTCCCCTCTGTGGGAGCATGATCCATAAGGGCAGAACAAAACAATGGTAAAAATAAGATGCTCATTGATAGCAGCTTGCGTTTGTTTACCATTATTTTCAGAGTTTTTCCTTACTTTTAGAGGAATTTGCTAATAGCTTCATATTCCAGCACCTAATAAAACACAGTGTGCAGTAGACAATGGCGCAGAGCCCATTGCAATGAAAGGGTCAACATAAGGTGAGTTTCTCCCAGGCACAACTTTTATTCAAGCACTGCTCTTGGGATGAAGTTAGCACTATCTTCGTTGTCCCAGTGCTGAAGCCCACATGACTGGGACAAAAACTGCCTAAAGAACCAGTAACCTTCCTTACCCCTGCCAGGCTGAGCTCCCTCCTCTCAAACAAAGGGCCTTCACGTGCTCACAAAACTATAATACAATACAAAACTACAGTAACGTGAGCCTCAGCCAGCTCTTCCATGCCTGCAAGCCTGACATGTTGTTTGTTGTGTTTTGTTGTTTTTTTTTTTTTTTCCCTTCCCCCCCTAGCTTTCTTGGTGTGTCAAAAAAAAAAAAAAAAAAAAAAAAGGATCTTACATCCGGGCACAAACCATGCCTCACTTACAACCCCAGCCTGTCCTGCCCCAGCTAACACATCCTTAGCATGGGTAGGCTCAGCCAATTTAGCATTAAGGACGCATCACAGAAGAAAGGTATGTCTGTACTAAAGAGCAGTTTTCCTTGGTGCAAGCAGGCTCACCATAAATCCCATCTGCTGTTCAGACCAACTGGGGTACCCATCTCTGTGCTGCAAAGCCAGCCAAAGCACTGGCAGGTCCAGAGCTTTTGACAAGGGGACACAAAGCAAGTTGCTCACAGCAGATCCAGCTTGGTTTTCATGGGTCTTTTGGCTCACAGATGCTAAGTCAGCAACTGTAAACTGTGGAGGGCTTTGCAGCAGAGAGCTTGCCAGAAGGGAGGAGTGAGGTCACAAACAAATACATGTACTTGGAGAAAAGCAAGCCTTTATGCTGCTACAATCACTCAGCTCCTGTGCAAGGGAAATCTTAAAAAACAATAAATTACAGTTTGCACTACCTGAGGGAAATTATAACAACAACTACTGTACCGTCAAGGATTTTATTGCCTAATATTTTAACAGGGGATCCTGGAGAGCACATATTAAATGCAGCCTCTCCCTTGGAGAAAATGAATAAATTGCACGTCTAACCCTCTCACATCTTGAAAGGGGTCCGACCAGTACGAAACAGGATGAAATACCCAGCTCAAAATATTTATTGCAAAACTTGTTTATTCTTTCTCCCCACCTCCCTTCCTCCCACTGCCCCCCTGCAATCACTACGAGAGCAAAAATGCCATATTCAGGTGGGGGAAAATTTTGCAGACATCCAAGAAATTTATAGGAACAGAACATAACCACAAAAAGCAACTTGCATCCACGCAGGAGCCTGATCTTTAGAATTTCTCTGGTTTAGATAAAATATTTAGCTCACAGCTGCCCTGACAGAGATAGAGCAACTGAAGTACTACAACACACATGGTGAACATGACCTAGTAATACAGTATAAATTTATAACAAGAAAATAACATGGAAATCATAGATGGGACATTCCCTCTGTATAAGCTCTCATGCAGCTACGCTTAAAGCTACATGATTTCTAGCTAGCATTCTTTCCTAAATTGAGGCTACTAAGCAAAAATGCTCATGTTTGTAGTTCTTCAGCAAGAGAAAAAAGTGAGGAATGATGAGTGCCAAGGTATGTTAAGCAAATGTGTAGGCTAACAAGGACTGTAAGGCACCTGCTTAAGGAACAAGCAGCACCCACTATCAATAATCTGTTTCGTGCAGAAGGGAGAAGTACACTAGTCATAATTTACATTTTACCAATTTCTCTTGACTCAAACAGTATGAAGGCATAACCAGCAAATTAGGCACCAGAAAAGAAGCATTACATTGAAAGGATATCCAGTAGTTCTGTTTAGCAAGGTACACCCCCTTTTCAATTACTGAGCTAAGGGGAAAGGCTGCTATCTGCTTAATGGGATTTTTTTATTATTATTAGGAATTGCTACCTAATTTCATAATAGCTATGAAAACAAAATACTGAAGCAAACATAGCAGGGAGGGGGGGGAAGGCACTCCTTCCCCAAAAGTCAGGCTTGAAAGAATCTGCCTGCCACGAGAAGACTTCCGACCACATGTACGCCACATTGGACTATCAGCAGCACATTTACCATACAAAAAATACAGGATGCCAAATCATCACAGTTTAGCCACAGACAGCATTACCATGACTACAAAAACATAGCCTGGAACCTGGATACTCTTCAAAGAACTCTTGCTGTTAAAAAAAAACAAACCATAAAAATGGGTAATAAGTTTCTGCACAATAGCTTTATAGAGTCCTTGGATGCAAACACTGCAAACAGAGCCCAATACAAAATCCAGCCCAGTCAGATAAACTATTCATCTTTTTACTTTAGCATACCTTCAAGATCCAATCCATGACAAGAAAGATTTATCCATTTTATTAAGAACACCAGAAGAGTAACAGCGCTGCATGCCCTGATCCGCACTGACTGCTTGCTGACTCCTTCTGGCAGAGAACCTTCAGCACATTCCTTCAGTAAAGCTGAAATCAGTCTCAGCTGAAAGGCATCACAAGTCAGAACTGGCACTCAGTTTCCAGAACTCACATCAGATGCTGCTAGTTAAGGCAGTGGATGCCACTAGGTCTTCATCACATGGCCCTCTTGCCCTTCCACCGCCTCCTCCTGCCCCTGCAGTAACATCTCGCAGGCAGAACACCGCTTGCTCTGGACACAACCTGGCTCACCAGTTCATCAGAAAAAATATTTTATGTGCACCAAGACAGATAAACATCTTTCCCTTGCAAATACCATAGCTGTAATGTTTCTCAGCTATGCCAGCTTTGTAGGCTCAATGAGGGCTATCAAGAGGGTGAGGCATAACAAGAGGAATCAATAACGTTTCTGTGCCACAGGGGTTTCTTTGATCAGTGTTTAAATCATGCGTGTTTAGTAATAGAATAATTTGAGGCTGAAAGGGGATTCAATCGGGGAAGGTGCCTTCTCCCTTTCAAGCCCACTTGAAATTTACAGCTGAAAATGCTCTAGAGCTCATCAAAATGACTCACGGCTTCACAGACCTAAAGCTCCTAAGTCCTGTGCAGCTGACACAGCACCTCTCCTCCCTTGGTGTATTGTGTCCCCAGCCAAAATGCCAACCTCCCTGCTGGCACTGCAGCACTGCTGAGGCCAGTCCTAGCTCAGTGACAGCGGCTGTGCCCATACCCTGCTGCGTGGGGCTGTGTCCCCCCTCCTCCTTGCACAGCCTGGCAGGAGCGTGCACCAAAGTGGGTTGGACGGGATGGAGATTTCCCGTGGGGACTGCAGGGGTGGTCAAGGTGGGGATGCGGCAGGTTTGGGGAAGGCGGCATTTATTTCCATGTATTTTTTGCCAAACTGATTTCCATAAATTTTACATGGAAACTGTGAGCGCTGAGCCAGACCCATATTTATAGGGGACAAAAGGGTCTCTAGTCAAAATCAGCAGCTGTACAGAAGGTGAACATAGGCCAGAAAGAGGCTGGCACGGGAAATGTGCTGGTGTGCTTGCAGAAAGTTTGCTTAGCTGCCTGCTTGCATATAACCGAGGTGTAACAGTTTCATCAGAAAAACCAAGAGCATCTGACCCCAGGCTAACCTGTATCGTGGTGATAGGAACACGTTTCTAGAGATGAGAGAGATGGGCTCAAATTCCCTTGGGCCTTGGACCTACATCTCCCACATCTGCCCTCTCTTTGTATCCATGTAACCGACATCCTCTTCTCTTTCTCCCTTTGCTTTTTGAAACAGAAACCTTTTCTTTTGGCTAAAATGAGAAAAAAACCCGCAGAGGTGTTCTCTGTCATATCACTGGAAGGCAATGTACTTGTGTTCGCTAGCTCTAAATGCTCTGCAGATTCAACCTCTTTAATTTCTCTGCCTTTTATCTGCACACCATCCACCAGATTCAAAACAACAGACATTTCTGGAGTGTGACTGAGAACAAAATTTGGCATGAAGAACACTTTTTTGAGCTTTCTATCAACAAGACTTTTTGCCTCTTCACTCCCCATAAAACTCTCTCAAGCTTGACACCCCCAGGTCTGTTATTCTACCAGTATTGTGACCCAAAAGTGATTTATCGTCCCCAAAACTGAAATCCTCATTCTGTGCTTGTCCCTCTGCTTCTGTCAATAGTTCCCATTCCTCTACGTGTGGAGCAGGTTCTCTAATGAGCTGTGAAGACCATCAACAGTCAACACACATTTCTTGGGTGTAATAGCACTGTGTTACACATCCAGAGAGACAAAAATAGGAAGGAAACATCTTAAATAATGTTTTCTTATTTTCTGACTAGTTTCTCTCATCAGGGTACGTCACATGCAGGGTTTTTCAAACATCCAGCCCAATATTTGCACATCAACAAACTTTGCTTGGTCTGCACAGTCCAGCAGTCCACTAAGAAATACCTCTTTTGCCCTTCCCACCTCTGAACCTATCTCTACGAAACTGGACTCAGCACAGGGAGCTGCGGAGAACTTGGGGATTCATCTACCGATAAAGCATCTCTGATCCCAATCCCTCAATGCTTGAGGCTATTCCCTACCTCTAATGTCTTAAGAGCTCATGTAATTTCCCCAGTCACCAGGGCCGACAGCATTTCAACAGGAAATTCAACAAGGGCACCACAAAAGCCTCAGTTTATAAACCAGAAGCTTTGAGAAGGTGGACTGAACAAAAAGCAGAGCATGGGGCTTCTGCTCTGCTCGGTTGCTGCTTTGCATTCAAGGAGCACTTACAGCAAAAGCTATAAACATATTAGAGTTTGCCAGAACAAAACAAAGTAACAGGCAGCTCCATCTCTGAATAGTCTCTCCTAAACCTAAGGTGGTATTTTATTCTAAAGTGCTGCAAGAGTCTGAGAGCAGCGTGATGTTACTATTGTTTCTCTTCTCTTGAGAAGACAAACATGTCTGTTTTCTTATTTATGAGCGTTTCTTCCAAATTTCAGACTTTTTCTTGATAGCTACCTCTTCTTGATATTTTTCTTTGTTAGAATTAAAGAGAAAATGGAAAGAAAAGTTAACAAGGAAGAAAAAAAATGACTTCAGTGAGTTACATATTGAGCTAGCCAGCAAAGAATGCCTTTCACAAAAAGGCCCCCAATTTGCAGCAGTACATTCACACTGCATGCAAACATCGTCCTGTATTTGCTGCCTCACACACTGGTTCCTTTGCACTACTCAGATGATGTGAAGCAATCATAAGCCTATGTCCATCTGTGCCAAGTTTATAAAAGCTCTTTCCCACTGGAGTGTCTCAAAGCAGGATGAACAAATATGAGAACTACACTAAAACAGCCAGCGGCAGGTGTGACTATAGGGGGCTGTGGGAACAGCGAGAGGGATATAATCAACTGAGTTTGAATCAGAAGGCAACCTACAGGAGGTGATACTTTCCAGACTTCTGTCCCAGCATACTCTCACCCCACAGTACCAAGAAAAGAGATATGACTTGTAGGAATGTGCAAAGCAGGATCATAATATGGATTTATGTGGCTGGAACCCAAACAGCGTGGCATGAAACAAGAACTGTGGGCTTAAGCGTGTGCCAAGAGCCAGAGCAAAGTCTCTGCAGTGATCCTGGATATACGCTCTCTAAAGAAGTTAAACCTTGTTCTGCTGCATCTTCCCTCCATATAATGTGCTTACTGTGCTCATCCATTTATTCATTTGCACAGACACACTTGCTTCCTACTTTGGTCTTGGGAAGATCCAGGAGAAGGAATGCACATTTTAGGGTGTGCCTGTGGCTCTCATCTGTGTGCTTGCAAGAAGATGGGATCCTCCTCTTTCACCTTATAGATTTAAGATCATGGTCCACAGGTGCACATGCATGCACACACCCTTCAGTCCTTCTGAACACAAAGCAAAGTTTGAATACTTGACCTGGGTGGGGATGCAGAAAAGACATCTCTTGCAGAGGGAGGCCCAGGAGGAGCTGCCAAAGATAGGGAGGAAGCGGCCATCTCTCTCGATCAAATCCAGCCCAGGCATTGCAAAGAGCCTTCCCTGCTCTGCCTGAACTCACCTATGTCTCCAGCAGGGTCCTGTGAGAGCATGGAGTATAGCGAACAGCCCATCTGGATGCTCAGTCATCGCAAATCCAGACACTGCACCCCTAAAGCTAGGAGCTGACAGGCATATTCTAGCCCGTCTGTCTCTCTGGCTCTTCAAATGCCAGATGATCAGATTTGTGAGGTAGGATAATACATGACCAGAGGCAGGAACTTGATTTTTTTTCTCATTTTTTAAAAAAAAACACCTAAGCTTCTACCTAGCAGTGAAGAAGTTAACAGGCTGTCTGGGTGCCTGAATTAACAGCTGCTGAGATAAGCAATAAAGCTCCAAGTCTGCAGGGTAAGATGGCAGGCTGTGCAGGCTCAAACAGTCCAGATCATACGAGAACTTCATTTAACACAGCATTTTCACCACAGGTGTATTATCTGCAAAGCAAGCTTTGAGCCTTTTCATTTTCATCATATGTCTCCCTCTTCTGCAGCTCATCTCTGTCCTTCCTCTTGTAACATTTTCCCCCATCAGCCTCCAGGAAACTTCCTACACACCAAACCAACAAAGCCCTGACTTCGTTCAAACCAGCTCATTTCAGCTGACCAGCACTTTTACAGGACCAAACAGGTGTGGTAGCAAGAAGATATTCACAAACCCCTTTCCTCCTTCCCCTCTATCACACATATAATGTGTGCATTTACCAGACACTATTCTTGAAGATCTAAATTTACTGAATCCTGCTGTATCCAGATTGGGTTTGCAGCCTGCCTGAACCTGCTGCCATCCCTTGGAGTTACCCTAGGTACACGTTTCCCCATCATGACCAGGAGAAAGCTCTCACCCTGGCCCTCACTGGATCTGATGCACTTTTGTGGCCAACCTCACCTTGTTACTGAACGTCTTGGATCACCAGACTGAATGAGTATTTAGGTCCTGTACACGTAGTCCTGCTGAATGTGGGAAAAGCAAACTGTGGGTTTTCCCCCACGAACCCAGCCAGAAACACTTAGCACTGTTCCCCTCTGAAATTTAATATCCTTAATTCATTCCTTGTTGAAAGAAAAAAAAAATAAACATGGAAAGAAGTTTACATCAATACATTAAATAACTTATGAAAATCTGAGGAGAAAGCACTGGGAGAAGTAAGAAAGTTTCCGAAGCTGCGAGAGGCGGACTCCCCCTGACACCTCCACCAGCCCCGATGAACGCGCCGTGCCCGAGCTCCTGGCCCCAAGGCTGCCTTATAAGGTGGAGAGATTGCTGCAAGGCGAGGCAGGCTTCAGTGCTGCAACTAAAGGGATGAGAGCCCTGCCTCATTCTGGCAGGCTCCTAAAGAGACAGTGAGCTTTTTATCATGTTTCTAAAGTTATTTGGGGAAAGAAACGCAGATCAGAAGAGCGGCTGCAGATAGAAGAGGCACTGAATTAATGTTTTTCCTTCTAATCTGCAGTACGTGCTTTCTGACTGTGCTGGCTGTTGCAATTT